ATATGATTTGAATTTATGTGTTCAATTCTAATCAATCTTAGAAAAGACAGTTTTTCATAAAATCCTAGTTTTGTGATTTTATACAAAAATATAAAAACGTTGTGTACGACATTCTTCTATTTATTAATCAATTTTTAAAAAACTAGTACGTACGTTTTTCATATCTCACTATGATCTACAAATCCTGAAAGTTTCAGTCAATTTGGAAATACTTGTGTATTTTGTGGTAGAGTTCCCATGGAAATACCCATGTGTATTTCAAATATCTTTCAGACCTTTTTTTTCATCGAAAAATTCATTCTTTGTCCCGCTCAGAGTTTAGTGAAAAAACAAAATTCGTCGAAACGCTCTTTTCATTATCTAATCATTTTCCATTTTGTATTCCCCTATCATTGTAAAAGCATTAGAGCTATTTCCGCTGTCAAAATAACTTTTGGTTCAAATTGATTTTCTGATTAAACCTTGGCAGGGATCAGCAGTGCATTTTTCGATGAAAATAAAAGATCTCAAAGATATTTGAAATGCACATAAGTCAATTGAGTTTTTGGTTCTGATTCAGAATATTGTATTAGTTTCGATCAATTCGTCATTTTTCTAACCAAAAATCTACTAAATACCAGTCAAAAAGGCAGAACCTTATGCCTTGGGAATAAAGCGTGCTTGCTTTTTTTCTGAAACTTTTTTCTCAAAATCTTTATATTGGTTTTCTAGAGCGCAAAGCTTTCTAAAAGATGCACTATATTAAAGTCGCGTCATCGAAAAATATCCGGCTTACAATCGAAAAAAGTCAGTTTAGTAAAAGTGCAGCTTTTAACTTCTTTTATATAAAGACTCGACTTTTTAAGAAACCTATTCGTGATGTTCTTGTTCAGTTTTATGCGCTCTTTCAAATAAGATGTTACTCAAACAAAACGGATGAGAAATAACGAAGACATACGCGAAACAATCGAGGTGACCTTTTTTTTTCTCCGTTTCGTAGAGTTTCTCATTTTTCAACGCATATAACTCCATGAACTCAAGTCACAGGAGTCTAAAAGTTTTTTTTATAAGTCTAGTTTGATGTGAAATAAGTATATTTTAATTTCGACCATAAAACTGATGTACAGCTTCTCTTCAATGAATAGATTAATTTTATCTTTCTTTTCTAATTTACTTTTATTGCTATTGGTTGATTATTTGTCAATATTCCAGCATAAACTTCACCTAAATATCGAACATTTTTATATAAATGTCAAAAAACAAAATAAAACAATAACAAACCAAATGCTCCTTTGCCAATTAAACGTTCAAGTTTAATCATAGTTCGTTGTATTTTAGGTAATTTATTTATATCAATATTCGTTGGTGTATGACTAAAAAAAACAATTTCAATAAGAAAATTTTTAACTATCAAAACATACTTCCATGTATAAAGTATATTATCTTTTAATGTACTACAATATGTTAATGATCGTAAATGATCTAATTCTTTATCAGA